AGAGCCAAGTACATTCCTGTCAGCCAGTTTGCCATTTCAAAGGTGTGCAATACAGTACAAAATCCACCATCCTAACCCAAATAACACAAGAGTAAAAGAAGGTGAAAGTTTTTCAAGGGTTACTTGGTCCTGAACTCAAGTACTTCACCATGGCCTTGACCTAAATTTTGCAGAGAATGAAGAGAATTCTGGACATTTTCCAGCAGCTTCAGCTAAATTAGATATGAACATGAATAAGGCCCTGGGGCCCTGCATTCCCTGGGATGCCACAGGCTTGGGACTCGCATAGAATCCACCCTTGCTACAGAACCCCAGATTTTAATTAACCAAGTTTCCTCAGTTAAGCTTTTCCTGTGAAAGCCTCCCACAGTAAAAAAACTCTTTAAAATGTTATGCTGCAGCAAATGAAAATAAACCTAGCTGACAAATTTTCAAAAACTTTCTTGGAAAGAACATGATTTCAAGGACTACAATTATTCATTCCAGATACATGGTTCATGAACTCAAAAGCAGTGCATCCAAGTACTGCATGTTCTCATCTTTCCTAACTGCCATATGCTGCTCAGTCGTTTCATTTTATATGCACTTTATGGCTCTAGGCTTTGTGGGCAGATGGCTCTTTGCCACCTAATCAAATTCACACATCAAATACATCTGAAGTGAGGGCTTTTGTAGAACTGTATCCTCCTTTAGTTTCTTTTCCTTTCTTGAGCATTTGAACATCAGTACAAACTTGTACAACCAAAAGGCTCATAATTTTGAGATATAAAACACTGATTCTTCAATTAAGCAGACATGGTACAAACAGTTCTATCTCACTCTAAAAATACTACCTAGTGCCTTGGAACTTCACAGTATACCACAGAGCCTTTTGGTTCTATTTTGGGACCCTCCTTCTTTCATAGCCACAGCTGTTCTTTGAACAGAACACATCTTCATCCTCTGCCTCCACATAAGCAATTAAAACAATGCATCTTTACTCCTGCAACTAAGTGACAGTTTCTGCTGCACAGCTCTGAGCTTGATGCAGTATCTAAATTTGGATGCCTTCTAATTCTCTTTAACTGGATATTGATAAAACTGAATTTTCATGGATCAGCTTATCTTGATGTAGGCTTACAGCCATTGCCTTTCATGAACTTAAAACCTCAGAGTTGCTTTTGATTCTCTGGAGCCTCCTATTCATCAGACAGGAAACTTCTCATATTAGTAACTGTGGCATTTCTTCAAGCCACTGTGACACACATTCTCTAAGTGGGTTGGCTAAATGTTTCACATGCTTTTATCACATTCTACTGCCACAATTTCTGCAACTCTTTACTTGCTGCATTACCTGTCACATCCATTAAATACAGGCATAAGCACACATTTTGTCTGTCTGAATGCACAGCAGGGTCAGGGTTAGCCTGACAGTGATGGAATGTCATTTCTCAAACCTGTACAATTCTTCAACTTAAAAAATATTGCTTTCTTTACATGTATGATTTCCTCAGCTTCTTCCTGCTAGGATATGTTTTACAGATACCAGCATAGACACAAGAAATAAGGTCATCTACATTAAAAGTGATTAAATCCTCCACTTTACACCTTTTCCTGTAAAGAAGGAACAGTGTAGTAATATTTTTAAATTGCCTTCTACAGCTACAGGAAAAAACTGTCACCCTGTTAAGATCTGTCAGATAAACAAAGCTGCTGAGGATGAGCATTTCAAGGACACCTAAAAATGGTTTTGTAATCTATACTAAAAAGAAGCAATCAGCTATCTAACACCAGCTATTTTAAGATGGTACATTTGAAAGAATATTATTTGAAATATTTTTGTAGAAGAGCAGTAGCAGAAGAGTGATGGAATATGTCATCATATTGACACTGCACATGCAAAACAGAATAGAAACACTCATAGTAGTACTTATTAAATTGATTAGAAAAGCTAGATGCAAGCCATGATATTTTAAACTTTTAAACGGCCTGCACAGCTCACCTTCCCATGCTAGTCAGTCATCTCTGCAGATTAAAGAGGGGCTGTCACAGAAAACACAGTGACTCAGAAGCCAAAGATAAAAGTATTTACAATTTCTTCCAGAGATCACCTATTTAGGTACATATAGCTCTTTATATTTACAGTCCTTTCTATTGCTCTGCTGAGAGTAGTAACCCGAATGTGCCAAACACATAGTGGGAGCCTACTAAACATGGACTAAAATTACTCCTGTGTCTCATAGCTGCAGTGGTTTTAACAAGTGCTGCACAGGCACAGTATGAGTAATACCATTTATAATCAATTAAGCTAATCATCCTTATCCCACTTCCATATCCCTCCTTCCCCAAGAACAGATAAAAGGCATCTCCTAGTGATTTTGTAAACACTACTGTATTAGCCATTTCAATGGATGGGAGGTCCTATGACCCAGAACATATTGGACAATTTTCAAGCTGTTTTAAAAATACAAAAGACAAAAATCTAATAAGCAGGTATTTATAGAAAGATACAAGTTTTTGATGTTATTAAAAAAAATGTCTCCCACTTACTGTAAATTTCTCTACAATCAGACCCATATTATTCGTACTTTCAAACCAGAATTCAGCTTGCAATTCTAAGGCAGGGCCTCAAAGTATTAAAAATAACCCCAAACAGCTTGAACATGAACCTCTCAGAAGAAAAGTCTGTGCTTTTTTTAACAATAACAGGAAGGTGTTCTACAAGGCATTTTCTAGTCTTCCCTCTTTGATAACAAAGCTACATAGTCTTACCTGTGTGGCCCAGAGCCACTAACACCAGTTCCTGCTTTAGGATATCAAACTGACAAAAGCACCACTTGTTGCTTGAGCTTTGCACACTAATTGCACCCTCTTAGCCTGATCTAAATTAGGAGCCTCGTTAACACTCTCTCTTGCTCCTCAGCACTGATGGGATTCAGGTGGAAATCTGAAGCCCTACTGATTAGAGTAGGGGAGGGTGGGCATGAACAGGAGTAAACCCCTCCATGTCATAAAGAGATGTTATTGACAAATTTTGGCCTTATTTTTTTTCCCCACAATGAGCCGGCTGCATTGGGGGTGCTCTAGAAAACAACTTTGTATTCAAGGAAGAACAGATATTTATGCTAATGTAACAGTAACCTAATGCTAGTGTTCTGAATTTCTCACCTAGAAATGCTTTGTTATCTTGCCAACAAAGAACTGAAACTTAAAAATTATTCAGGAAGCAAGTGTAAAAATCCTATTCCTGAAAGTCCCTTTAGATTCTTTTAGGCATTAGGTGCATTCTTCTAATACAGAAACTACACACAATGCTGATCAACTGAAGATAAGAATTAAGAAAATTGTTAAGGGAAGATGATTTGAAGTAAAAAATTGCAAATGCCAATTCTGCATAGAAGCACGTTCATTTTTATGTTTATTTCTAGTGCCACCTACCTCAAGTGACTTTATGCTTGGAACAAAAGAGCATGGAGGAACAACCCTGGGTCAGTTGTAATACTCTGGACTGAGCTACTGCTTCATGCGGACAAAAACAAACCCTATGGGGAAAGCAGTGAGGCAGAAGCAGCAGACTAGAAAGCTACATCGATGTGCTTCAGCTACTGGAACTCTGGAAAAAGTACTGTATTAGGTCAGAACAACACCAGTTTTGTTTTTTATTTGAGGATATTTCTGAGCAGAGACTTTAAATTTTAAAATATCGTGTTCCACATGTAAGTCAATTCCTTTCGACCCCATGACCCTGAAAAAATCTCATGGCAGTGAGTTCCACTACTACATTACATAGTGTAATGAAATAAAAGGTGGAAGTTTGCTGTCTAATCACGTCACTGAAATCTTAATTCTTACAAGCTATCAATTATTTCTAAACCAAAGTAATGGAGTAAGTCAAACTGGTCCTCTGTCAAATTCTAGTTTTCTATCTTTTTTTAAAACCAGCATTGAATATGGTATTTGAGAAGAAGACCAAGTCTGATTTTACATAGTGGCATAATATTTTTTTTTTTTTTTTTTGGACTGCCATTGAGCCCTAACCTAACATCTAAAGAAAAGCATGCTGGCAGCATTATTTGCTTCCTTAGTAGAGTTTAGAACTCCTCAAGCTTCATTATTGCACACATACATGATGTAGAATGATTTTTCATTTATTAACAATATGCCTGGCAGTTTAGCTCTCAGCTATTCAGTATTAAGAGATCTTCCTGAAATTCAGTGAAGGAAGCTTCAGATTAAATATATGGTACTTTCAGCAAAAAGTCAAAATCAGTCTTAAAAACATTCCTTGGATTACTGAGTCCAAGATCTTCCTGTATCTAGAGCCCAATGCTTCTTCCTATTCTGCTGACTTGAGGAGCTTGCTCAGAAAAAACCTGTATTACTTGTGTTTAAGGAGCAATGGAAGGCACCAGGATGATGTTCTGAATGTCACTACTTTATATTAGCTTAGAGGGTGTGTGTGCATGTTTCTTTGCTTTGCACCCAGTTACATATTTGAATGTAAATTGGTATTAATTAAGAATACATAATGGTATATTTGGATTTGCATTTTCTATATTTGGAAAAAAATCAAGTCTGATGAGCTAACAGGAAGAACTGAAAATAGAAAGAGGACAGCTCATCTCTTATTTCCAAGTGTGAAATTGTGAATGTATTTTATAATGTGCTTCCTAAAAGTGAAGAGTTTAGACTACACACCAATATAAAATGGGTACCATGTGTCTGTGGTTTTGGGAACGATCACAGCTACAGGACAGTATGCCTAGAACCCTAGAGAGATCTAAGGAAATAGAAAGTCTGAAAAACTTTATGTGCAAAATACATGGCAACACACTTTGCTAAGAGACCATGATGGTCCCAAGTACACATGAAAGCTGTTTTTGAGGCATGTAGGAAACTATGTCTTTTGGATTTTGCCAGCAGGTTCAGATGGCTGTGATGCAGGTTAGATTCAAGTGTATTTAAAACTCTGTCAATAACCCTAATTACTGTTAGGCACTCAAACTGCAATCAGGAGAAACAGTGTTGATGTGACAATAATTTATTATAGTACTGCATGAAGAGTAAAAAGACATTTTCAGACATAAAGCTGAAATTAAACCCTATGCAGAGGAACTAATGCAAGTTTCATAATCTACTGAAGTACTACTAAAGCACTGCTTCCAAATAGACCAATACATAAAGCATCAGTGGCATTAACAGTCATCCTAAGAGGAACTCCTCTTAGGAAAAAAGCCTTGGGAACCTCTCTCATGAAACACTTCACTGCTAGGACTTGGGTCTAGATATTAACTGCAAGACACATTTTCAGATGCTTTTCTGGATTTAAGTGTATAATTACATCAGTTTCTTAAAAAGCTGCCTTGAAAGGCAAGGTTTTGAGACACAGATATGAAAAGATGGGAGAGTCAGGGGACAGAATAAAAAAACCCCATGATCTTCAGTGTCTTCAACACAAAACAAACCTGTATTACAGATCACTTTACAAAATTTACACTATATATATCTTATATATGCATTTAAACAGAATTATTTCAGTCACTAAGTTCTTCCTCATCACTGAAATAAGTACTTTTCTTAATCCGTGGACGTTTTGAATCATCTGAAATTGAAGATTCCCCTGCAGTCCATCTTTGCTGTTCTTCCTCAATTTTGGCTTGCTATAATGAAGAGAAGTATTAGCTGGGATTAAGAAAAATTAAGGAGCACTACAAATAACAATGCTAATTCTTAATACACACTGAATTATTAAATAAGTTTAAGAATTACAAGGGTTTATTTCCAGATAAACTGTGTGATCAAAGCACTAGGAAACATTTCTGAAAGTAGTTCTCACATATAAGCTGTCTTCTACACCACAGTAGCTGCCTGGACCATCCTGTATTTTCAGAAAGAGCAATTTTGCCCATGGCAAACTTCCAAAAATATAGAGAGATCTAAAGCAAAAAATCTAAGCAGATCTCTTTAGCTGAGATCTAAAGCAAAAAATGCCTCATGTTTTGAACTGATGTTATTGAATCAGCTTTGCTCTGCTAACAAGTCTTCTATCCATTGTCCTTTGCAGTCATTCATTCACATAATGAGTGCATTTGGGGATTATTACTGAAGGTTATTCAACTAATAGTTTAAATAGAAGCTTCCTATTTTTTCCAGTTAAAAATCTTTGGATGGTGATAGTGAGGCATCAATAGAAATGAGAATGTTTCCTGGCTTCATAGGTTTTATTTCCAATTGTGGAGTTTTTGGGGAAAGTGAGGAATATTATGAAAATGTGAATCACTTTTTTTGGACTACATCATGTAAAGGTCCTGCACTCAGTTACAGTCACATTCAGAACAAAGTTATTAACTCTTGAGGGTTTTTTTGGGGGGGACAGGCACACAGGCAACAATGTTGACTAGAGAGTCAAGAAATTTGACTATCAGGTCAGGCTTGTTCTGTTTCATGAAGCAAAAGGGTGTAGAGATAAAGAAGTAATAAAGACAGTAATACAGCTGTTAGATAAGCTAACTACATAAAAAAATATGCATTAAGTATGTTTTGGGAGATGAGGTCTATGAGAGAATGTGATGGTCTGTACTAGGCAAAGGAAGTCTGCCAGTAATGAATGTTCAAGGACATTCCAGTGAGGACAGAGGATGTTTCTGGTTGCTTATACTTGACTGGTTTTTTGTCTTCTCAGACAACAAAGTAAAGAGGGGTTTGTGGGCAAAAACCTAACAGAGTATCACAGTTGAGATGACACAAGCAAATACCAAAGGAGCTTGAAGGAAAGAAAAGGCTGCAACACACAAATACAGCAATAGTTAAAGAGCAAGAAACCCAAACAAAATTCCACTAAACATGCCTGCAATGTAAAGAAGCCAACTATGGTTACCAATTACTGCTACCAAACCAGAGCCCACTCAGTGCTATAGAGCAGACAGACCTATGCATGTATATCAGAGCTTCTGAAAAGCAGCTAAATAAGGGAGTTGAATTTAAAAAATAAAAATAAGTATGCCATGCTTCAATTATGTACCTGAAAAGCTATGGCTTGGCTGAGGCTATCTAGAGCAGGGTCTTCTCCTTCCTCTTCACTTTCTTCTTCCTCCTCACTTCATTGTGCAAGGAGAGAGAGAAAAAAAAAAAGATATTTAGGTGTTTAGTATGAAAAAGCTTCCTAAAAAAAGTAGTAACATGTAACTCAATATACATACATTTCTTCTGGCTCCACTATTTTCTTTCTCTTCTTCTTTTCCTTTTTTTTTGGTGGTTCCCGCTCCCCTAGCATATTTTTAGGACAAGCATAACTTAAGTGTCCTGCTTCCTTGGAGAGAAAGAAATATTGTTTAACAGAAGCCATGACAAACAAATATATGTTAAAACATATCATGAGGGAAGCTCATGGGGGGAAAATACGGGAACAATTAGTAAGATAAATGGAATGCTGAATTAGCACATAGAAGACAAACTCTTCTCTAGGCTCACCATGGAAATAAAGAGATTAGTGGTGATATGCATGCTTAACTGCAAACTGAGAACAAGCTACAAGAACAGTAAATTTTTTTGTCTGTCGCAATAACTGAAAACACTACACATGGTTTATATTCAAAACAAGATAGAAACCTCAGAATTAACAATTTAAGACACAGGAGTAAGGTGACATTTTTGCTGTAAGAAGTGTTATGAATATAAATCAAGTTTGTATTGGACATTAAATACTATCCGAATATCATGGTCCTACATTACTCTGTTCAGGAAAAGTTAGGACTTAATTAAAACTTAAAACTCATTTCTATATAAAAGAGTTGTTTCCTGTATTTATTTTATTGCCAACTAAATCATGAACTTCCAAAGCTATAGCAAAAGCAGATACTTTGAAGCAAAGAGTAGGAAGTTGTCATTAGAAGTTTTCATGTACATCACTTATCTTTCTTGGGTTTTATTTCTCTTTGTTACTTTCATTACCATCTACTATTACTACTACTATTTAGTATTATTTCAATTAAGTTGTTCTTATCTCAACCCACAACCTTTGTCCATTTCTCTACATTTTTGGTTTTACTCACCCCACATTCGTAACACTTAGACTTATCAAAGTAGTTCCGCCTGCGAATGAATTCTGCTGCTCTTCCATTATCAATGGCAATACTTGCTTTTATTACTCTTCCAAACAACTACAGAAAATTGGAAAGAAAATGTAAATGATTTGGGAGTGAAAGCCCAATCCTCCTGCCATAAAAACTTTCCACAACTTACCTGTTTGTTATTAAGTGCTCGAGAACAGTTTTGTGCAGATTCTTTATCCAAAAACAAAATAAAGGCAACTCCTTTGCTCTTTCTGGTGTCTTTATCTTTCATAATGGTAACTCTGGAAACATATAACCACATTATTTATTTTAGTGAACTACACTAAAATTACTTCAGAGATATTTTTTTCCTTAAAGATCTCAGTGGGATCTTCCCTTTGTTACACAGTGAAAGAGTTGAAGTATATTTAACAATAAAAATACTCATTAAACAGAAATTCAAAGGAATAGCTAACCTGGCTGTGTATATAGAGGTAGAGTGGAGATGATTTTAAAAAAGCATGTGGGGTCTTTCAGGGACCAGTATCACCCTTAATTCCCTTGGATGACTTGACAAACACAGAACATAATCTTTAGATTTACAAGCAATGTAACTGGAGGGAACTACATATGCTGGAGGTGAAAGGAAAATTCTTGAGTAATCTTACCATTGCTATTATTGATGAAAATCACAGTGTGAACTGCCTCCAAACTAAGAAGTCATTTTTATGTTTGTGTAGGACTAATCAGCTAAACAGGTTCACAATAGGAAACTTACTATATGCAGCACTGTTCTACAAATATCTCCAAATGAAATCCAAAGACCATGGATGCATGTGTTATTTCACATGACATACAAAGTTAAATCTTCAGTCTAATATTGAAATCAACAGCTTCAATAGCACATTGAGAAGTTAATGAAAATCTAGAAACAGTAAAAAAAACCCTGAAGATAATAATTTACAAGACAAGGCTAGGGTGTATGTATGGCTGGAACCCACACAGTCTCAATTCTTTCCATCTCAATGTCAGTTGTATTCACTATGTATCTCCTGAAAAAAACCTAACAAAACCACAACAGTAAGAACCAGAATGTCAGGCTCCATGTACATAAAAATCAAAGTACAGGTAAAAAAGTAGGGAATACACTCCTCCCTATGTCCACTACAGGCAGAACAAGGTTCAGCTGCAGCAGAAGCCAAAATTCTAAGAAGTAACCAAAAAAACCAAACCCCAAACTTCAATACAAAAGGCCCACCATACAACATGCATAAGTAACTTTTTACCTACATGGTAAAACGTTTATGAAATACAAGCACAGTAAACAAAGCTCAAATTTCCCCAAATATATGCACAAAAAGGTTGAATTTTACAGTTTTACTACCAAAGTCTCTTGGGCAGGATAGGTACAACTGCATGCATTAAGTTCAAACGTTAATAAAACTGATTTTAAACAATGCTATTATTTTTTTCTGCCAAGCTACTCTGAAGAATTCCAACACAAGCCTGGTATGACTGTAAGGCTTCTAATCAGGATATTGAACATACCAGTTAGTAATACAAGAACAGAAAGAATCAAGTGTGACAAATCTTTAAAAAGTCAGGAACTTATCGGAGCCATAGAAAGTCTGATTTCTTAATGAACAAACTCAGTTGAAGTCATAATAGTCAGGATATATTTACTTTTCCTGCTATTTGTCACCTGAAACACACTTCTGAGACTGCATAAACTTTGAAACTCTGTATCTCATAAGTTATTGCAACAGCTACTAGAAATTAGACAACATACATGCTGGTTTAGGATTAAAAACTGAAGACTTGAGTCTCCTTATTCTGACCAATTAAAAAAAAAATTAAACAAACTAGTCAGTTTCTTACTGTGGCATTTCTTTCAATCATTTGAACACAAAGGCTGATATTCACATATATTGTTCATGAATACCCCAAATACTGAAAGCCATTAATGCAGCCTTACATCTAGCTTTAGGTAAAATACTAAACAGTCACAATAACCAGCCCCTCTAGAATCACGGAGAACTGTACACTGCATTGTGGGAACTGTGACATCTAGTTCACATAAGAAGCTCCCACTGTCACACTTACCCACTGTGCCCCACAGTGGTATATAATAATACTAGAATAATACTAGTGGTATAGAATAATACTAGAACACTGTTTCAACTATTTCAGAGAAAGGACTGATGGTATGCAACAACATTTTACTTGACCTTAAGAAATGGTTAGCAAAACCTGTCCCAAACACAAATATTCTTGTATTATGTATGTAACTGCAAGAACTTTCAGTTCTTAAATTAGAATTATACTTTATTAAAAATGAACAGAACTTCAGTACAGTTCCACATTCATACTTTAATTACAAAAAGCTCAAGACTTTCAAGTGAAGGAAAGACATAAAATATTTAAAATGAGAGGTACAAAAATAGAAGGCCGTATCAGGTCACTTACTTGACAACTTTCCCATACTTTGAAAATATCTGAAATATAAAAGAAAATCAAAAAGATTTAACAACAGACAATTGCATTTCACTAACAATAAACTTACCATGACAAACTTATATATCAGTATTGATTTTACAGTCAAAATTGTTTAGTCAACAAGTTTAATCTAAACAATGCATCTCTTAAAACTTACCCTGTACAGATCATTGTTAGTCAAAGCAAAGGGTAAATTGGACACATACACTGTGCTTTTGCTTGGTGCCAGCCCACCACTCATTTTTCTGATGAAAGGAAAAAGAGAGAAGAGTTAAACTGTATTGAACAAATAAATCAATTTTAAAAATTGTTTCAAGACTTTCAATTTTATTTCAAACCTAGCCCAGACATCCATGATAAAGTTGCAGGACAGCATAGTTTTCATTTCCCTTGCATCATTGTACACAAAAATTAGTGTTTGCCTTTATGGACTACAGAAGACATACATTCCTTCCTTCTCTCCTGGATCCAAACATATTTTTGTTCTATGTGAGTCGATTTGAAGTCAAGAAAAAACTGGCAAGTTAGTGTACTTACAATAGTTCCCTGGTGATCTGTGTAATTAGAAAGGTTGAGGGCCAAAAGAAATAAGCCATGTCCATTTATTAAACATTATGGACAATGTGTCAAATTACTGACCTCTATGCCAGTACCAGCATTATCTGATTCTTGATGCAAGTATTAGTACAGATGCATTCAACATACAATAAAATACAATTGGTTAAGGGGGGAAAAAAATTTCCCTAAAGCAGAGTCCTAATTATTGTGGGGAGGGAGATAAATACATTTTTAAGTCAATGTAGCTTGATGCTAAAGTGGCATGCTTTCATTTCCTCTCTTAACTATTGCTCAAGTTTCTGCACTCTAGAACTGCATGTGTCCAGAGCTGACCATAAAGCAGCATCTCTGTAGAAGCACTCCCCTTCCTCCCTCTGACTAGGCAGATTTCTCCCGGTAGGAAGCAGGAAAATTTCCAATCTTTCCATTTTAATTTCCAATCTTTTCTATGCTCTTGAAACTGAGTATGTCTGGAAACAATCAATTCAAAATACTGTTATAACCACATACATATCATCTAATACTAGGTGAAGAGTAACCAAACTAACTGGAAAATGGCAAGCTAATGTTTTTCTTCACATTTGGACATTTCCCAAGATTTTTAGTGGTGTAAAGTCTGTGCAAAACATTCTCTTTGATCCATTCTGTAGCCATGTTGAGACCAGGAGCTAAGTGAGTAAAATTTAAGATCAAAACATACCCCTTATGAAAGGCCATACCAAATAGTACAGCAAACCCACTCCCCTACACAGTCCAATTTCTACCTCCTTGTCCATTTTCCTACAGCCTTATTAGTGCTTCCTGGCACCTCTAGCCAATTCTCAACTGAGGATCAAGCCACTTCTTCAGCAAGACCGCCTCATTTTAAAAATGCAGACAAAAGCTGATGAAGAGATAAAAACCCTAAAGTATTAAAACCTAAAGTATTAAACCCTAAAGTATTAAAATCAGCATCTGCCATATTACAGTTTCTTAGAGGACTTCTTGGGTAGCCAGTCTGAACAGATTGCTTGGCCAAGTGCCCATAAAAGTAACTAATATCACACTCTAATCTGGCTGATACTTTCTGGCATTTCATGATTTAGTTATCTGAAGGCCTGATATTCCCAGCAGACACTGATTGTCCAAGTGCTTTGCTTCTCTTTCCTGACACGCTTACTGTATCACAATTCATTTGAGTGACAGTTTCCAAGTGATTCAATTTTGAGGTTTTTCATGTTCAGAGACTGTTTTTTGGCATGAGCAAAAATGGCAACACAAAGGTTAAGCAAATGAAAACAGAATAAATTTGCAATAAAGGCCACACACTGCATCTGGTGTTAGGCAGACTGGGTTCATTATCCCAAATTCCTTTCTGCTTGGCATTAGTATCCTTGACAAGCCTAACCAGACTGACTTGGCAACATGCCATGTGAATGGATGGCCTGAAGTGCAGTTATCCAGATGTACAGTGGATAGAAGGATTCAGGAAGAACAATCTCAACACTGCACTATGCTATATTGCCAGCGCTAATATATTGCAGCAGTGGACAAGAAAACACTGGAAGTGATCCTCAAGTATCTGACTACAACAATTTCACTCTGCCTAAAAGGCAAGAGAAGCTGGAGCACCTTGCAACAGCAGGCCAAAGCAGCCCCCATTTTAATGGGCAGGCACCAGGGAGAACAGCATGACGGGAGAGCAGTCAGCATCTTCCACAGTGCCACAGCGCAAACCTCCACAGAGAAGGTGAGACATCAAGCAGAGATTACTACTGGCCCACCAGCTCAGTTGTTAGGAAGTTATTAATGAAAGCAGCCTACAGAACCACAATTTTCAGCTGCACACTGCTTTTTTCAGAAGCTGAAAGAGTTACACCCTGACAGCACTGGCTGCCAGACAGCTGAGGTTGAATGTTGTTTCTACTCCCCTGGACAACTTTGGGCTGAACAGTTTTGCTGCTCCAACTGCCCAAATATTCTTAGCAATTTGAATTGTTTAGGACTGTTGTGTAAGTACTACTTATTTTTAATGTCTGACTCACTATACAGACACAACTTTAATACAACAGGGAGTACAGCAACTCTATGGTTATCATCATTTATTACAACGATGTTTTCTAGTTGGAGGAGTAAAAAATGCCAGTTCTAGCATTAAGCTAAGTCTCCAGACAAGATATGTCATCTGGAGACTCATCATTACAAGGTTGAGAGTCCTACTACTTCAGGAATTTTCTAACTTCATAGAACTGTCCAATGTAAGATTTTGATCACATTCTTTCTCCACGATTACCAGTCTCTCTGCTCAGCTGACAAAGAAAAAAATAATCTTCTTCCTATTGTAAATGCAGGCGAACCCAATGGGAAGAAATGACAATGTCTAACTCAATTCATAAGGCTGAATTAAAATACACTAATACACTATATAAAAGGAGGATACTAAAACTACATACTACTTTCTTTGACTCTCTCACCCAACTCCTGACCTTCTCGCTTGAGTCCAGCCCCAGGTGGATTGGATTGGCCATAAGGCTCAAACAATCCTCACCAGAATCCAATTAAGCAGTCACTCCAAGTAAACAATTCTCCAAACACATTCCACATAGGAAAAACAAGGAGCAGAAATAGAAATTGTTTTCTCTTTCATTTCTCTCTGTGCACCTCTATGAAAAATCCTGAGAGGGAGAGAAATGTGCTTGCCACATCTTCCCTCACAAAAACCTCCAAATGAACCAAAAAACGACATCTCACTTTCTTACTGCTGGAGACTCAACTGAAAGTCAGGTACAGCCTGGCTTCAAGCCTTTATCTTGCTAGAGCTTTTCAACAAATCAAAACATTTCTATTTTATCCTGGATGCTTTTCTGGGACTTTCTTGATCTTCAAGGTATTACCTTCATTACTTAACTTTAAAACATTGGCTAAAAGCCTTTACAATACCTCCACAGAATTGCACAACAATTCCCATTAATATAATGGCCTCTCTGTAACATTAATGCCTTTTTAATTTATCCCTTTCACATATTAATTTTGACAATAGAGTTATGCCTCATTACAATGACTTCTTGAATTCAATCTTTTTTGTCTTTTCTAACAACTTGAACTAAAAAAAGCCTTTTTTTTAACAAGAGCCATCTGTCAGCAATGATTAAGTCTCCTGAAAAATAGAACAGGTATGTGAATATGTTTTGGTTTGATCCAATATTCTTAATGCAGCATCTGTCATTAGTATTGGGGGGTATCACAGAAAGACAATTATTAATTTCAGTAATTGGCTTTTCTACTCTATCCCAGAGGACAGGGGACATGAGGACACCACCAAAACAGTTCAGATGCCTCTGAATCAAGTGGAGCCTAAATTTACTTATACTTTCATTACTTAACTTTGGTATTTCAACTTAAAAGCACAAACTTGTATGTTTGTTTTTAAGTGCATTGCAGCAATGTCAGATCTATGATTTAATCAACTGAAGTATGTACAAATGATTTGTGAACAAGTTTCTCAAGACACTCCCACTCAAGTCAATTAAGAGTTTTTCTATCTCAATCCTTAAAACACGTATTTTCTTCCTGATTTAATAGTGTCAGCGGAGTTTAGACCCAAATCAAGAAACCATTAATTGTGGCAGGAGCTTTGATTAGGGTAATAAACAAGCGTCTGCTCCCTGAGAACGGTATCAACGACTTGCTACAATTCTGCCCTGCACAAGGGGCATGGAGCAAGCTGTAAGAGAATAATCTGTTTTATCTCACACTCCCTTAAATAGTACCAAGCAAATATTAAACAGGAGCAAGAATTGGTAAATAAGGTTAGCACTATCAGCAAAGAAATCGTACAATAGTACAATTTGCTCAAGTCAAAGAGGAACATAAAAAGGATCCATGGTTTGAATCAAAACTGTACTGATCTAACTACAAAAGCTTAGGGATAGTAAGACTGGGCAACCAGACCATCCATCCAGACTATCTATCAGACACATATAACTTATACATGTTCCTTTTCCAGATTACGTATAGGTGTCACATTGACCTTGGCCAAAATCAGTAGATTATATCTGTCCCAGACAGATATAATGATATGATTCCATTTTCATCCCCAGCACCAATCAGCATTCGCTGAGACTAAATTGTGAATGAAGATGATACAGCACAACAAATGTACAGTACCTACAGAAGTAAGGAGTGCTCCGGAGGCCTGGGCTGTCTTCTTTCCCCTCCACGCGGAGAGACTCAGGGCCCTCAGACGTTCATAATTTCTATCCTACCATTTCCCCCACACTACAAAGGGAAAGCCCATAAAAGTTTTTCCAACAGTGTTTTCAAAGGGATTCTCAGCACAGCCAAGATGGGAGAAGAGCTCCTTGGTTCAACCGCATCTGGTCTCGCCCAGAGCTTCACGCAGGAGGGGCAGATCTGGGTAAATCACTTCGTGCCGGCCCTTCCTCCTCAAACCACGCGACACGCAATCTGTTTGAGTTCAGTGCGAGCAGAGGGACATTAAAGCAACAGAACCGCAGACTGCTCAGCAACTTCCACAGGCCGCGTTAACGCCTTTGGCCACACCAGCACAGCGCGGCCCCGACCGGCCGCTTGTTTCGCGCCTTCCTATTCCGCAAGGGCCCGAGGCGAGCGAGCTGCGACGAGCGTTCGCGACAGCCGCTGTCCCCGCCCGGCGTCCCGTCAGGGCGGGCTCAGCCCGCGGGGGCCCATGGTGCGCTCCGGCGGACGGGACGGCCCGATCGCACGGCCCCTCCGCCGCCCCGGCCCGTCGCGCTTCCGCCGACGCGCAGCTCCCGGCGCGGCCGCGGCCAATGGGCGGCAGCTCCGCGGCGGCGGGCGGCGGTTTCCGCCGACGGCTCGGGAGCGCCGGAAGCGGCGGCGGACGCGCGGGGCCGCCGCGGAGCTGCCGCGGGAGCGGGAAGCGGTGCAGGTGGGCGAGCGGGGCCGGGAGCGGGGCCGGGCCGGGAGCTGGCCGTGTTCCTCCGCGGGACCAGCGGGGCCGGAGCCGATGCTCTGCCCCGCGGCGGCGGCTGCGGTGGGACGCGCTCGGCTTCTTGCGGGGCGCCCCGGGAGCGCCTTCCTGCCCCCTCTGCGAACACGTGCTCGGGGGTCGCGGAGCGGCCGTCCTGGGAAGCGGCTCCCTCGAGGAATGGCCGGGGGAGCTCGTCCCTCCCCGCGCGGGGCAGCCCGGGGCGGCGGGAGCCGGACTGCCCGCGGGGTGGCTGAGCTCCGTGGCGGGACAGCCTCCTCGGGCAGGCAGCTGCTGCTTAGCACCTGTAAGCCTTATCATTTAAACCTCTGTAAAACACGTATGGGATAGAAAACTTCGCTTCTCGGTTTAATTTGTGTATTTGTTTTGAAGGGAAGGTTCGTCCTCCTTGTACATAAATCTGAGAATTATTTTAAACAGTAACTCGTAATGAGTGTTTGGAGGCTACGTAAGTCCTGTTGTAAACACTTTCACTGATGTGTGTGATGGGTGTGTTGGTGCAAGATCAGTATTCTTATTGTTTCTAGAGAGATAAATAAGACATGAGAGTGTCAGCTCATTTCCTAATGAGTCTTTCAGAAGAAATCTGTGTGATTAGTTTAACAAGAGGGTATGCCGAAGTCCTTACTAGTATTTAAGCATCTCAAGTGCACTCTTCATGGTTCTTTATTCTCACTCATACTCCTTAAATAGGTTCTTTCTCCTCCATTAGGGTTTTCAGGAATAGTCTATATAAATTCTTTATCTGTGACTTCAAGGGAACAAAGACAGTCAGAAATAACAAAAAGAGGTGGAAACCCGCCCAACCAGTGAGGATGGTTTGATACAGTGATTTGCCCTGGGTGAAGTGCTATGGCTTGATAAGAGTAATTTTTGAGAGCATTGTGGTTTTGACTGGTTATGGCAGCAGTATGGAAAGCTGCCATATTTTGTTGTCAGAGTGTTTGTGCTGCAGGATGGAAAATGACAGGAGCACCATCCATGTGGGTGTTTGCAGTGACATTGCTGGTGGAACAGCCACGTCGGAGCCTGGTAGAATATGTTTTTCATGGCACTGGCACTGATGATGGACAGGCCAGTAACTGCAGGTGGTCAGGCAAAGATAAATGCTAATATATCAGTCTATTAATAGAACCCCCAATGCATTGCTTCCATTGCTCTTGTCCCAGTGACATATTAGAATGATGTAGTAAGAGTGGAACTGGGGGGATTGTAAATCCTCATTGAAATGCTGCCACTGTTATTAATTATATTGTGTTTTAAGTCAGAATTATTGTGAATGGGTTGGGAAAGGTTGGAAGAAAACCTCTTGATATATAGGTGAATATCCTTAGACTTGTTGCAGTCATACTTCTAAATGCTTTTGAAGCTCTTGCGGCCTAATATTTGCTACTAGGCAGAGACAGATTGTCTTTAAATCTCTGTGTTGTCTTAGTGCCCCTCTCATTTTATTTTATTTCATGGTGTGTTGGATTTTTCCCTCTGTTCTCATATTTCTTCTTTTTCATTTTACCAGTAGGACTGTGTGTATTCAGTGTGTTCTACCTATCCCAGGTACGCTTGGAAGATGAGAAAGTTACTTTCTCCCCCAAACCCATTTTTATCTGCCTTGCCTTCTGTCTAGGTAAGAGATACTGTGATATCTTTGAAGATTATCAAATACAGAGTCTAATTCCTGGAAGATAAAGCAATGTTTTCTGTCTGTCTTTATATCCTCACAGCAGCAATCATTCCAAGTTTTATAGTGATATTGCTAATAAGTTACATGTCTCCTACATCTTGTACAAAAGTGTTTGAACTCTTTTGAGAGCTTTCCAAAATAGAGAGGTTAGACAAAATTGGCTCACATTTGTCAGTCTCTGCTGTTTATCAAAGTAACATGATAAAACCATATATATCCCAGTGGCATGGGAGGCACTCCAGCTGCCTGTCTCTGCATTTGCTTTGTTCACATATGGTAAGATGTAGCCATCTGGATTAGGAAGCTGTATGTGTGGAAAACAAATGTAGATTCTGCAGGAGGATGATAGCACATGCTATAATACTATAATATTACAAATCCTGGAGAAGTTGGTACTTGTAGCCTTGATGAAAATTGATGTCTCAAATAAATGTAAGCTGTACAATTTTTGTGGAGTGCTTTTGAAATTTGATGTCTCAAATAAATGTAAGCTGTACAATTTTTGTGGANCAAATAAATGTAAGCTGTACAATTTTTGTGGAGTGCTTTTGAAATTTGATGTCTCAAATAAATGTAAGCTGTACAATTTTTGTGGAGTGCTTTTGCAAATGTATCAGGAAGGTGCAAAAAAAAATCTGAAGATCTGAAAATCTGAGACCTGTGTAGTCTCCCTGATGAGAAAACCTATATTAGCATAGAGCACAACATAGTGCTAATTGGAGTAAAGCCATTCTTGGTAGCTGGCTACAACAGAGCAGCAATTGTGTTAATAGAATGACCTCTGCACTTACAGAATGTCTTTATTTGAGAGAAGACTGCTTTAAGTAAAATAGTCGCCTCTGATCAAAAATAGGAAGAGATTGTTTAAATTAATATAGCAAGTGATTTGATTATATATAATAATATTAAATATCAATTGTTTTTGTTGTATGTGCTAATAGAAAATAGTTAATCAGGATGAATTATGGTATTAGGTGTGAAACAAAACCAGATTTTTCTCATTCTTTGTTTTACAACAACTTTGTACCTACTGAGAGAAGAGATTAATCTCAATAAGGCATAATAAACTTGAGATTTGAGCTCTTGAGTTTTTGTTAATGGAATCTTCTGATATTGAGTTGAAGAGTTTAAACTGTCCATGGTTGTTATTAAAGCTGTGTTAGGTCACATCAGTTAAGAAATGGATTGTTTTCTTTTTCTATAGAAACAGATAAAAGGTGCTCAAGATGCTGGGAATTGCATTTTCTTCCCTTCAAATAATTTTTTCTTTTGGTATTTTCAAATATATCCTTATTTTATCTCATTGTTCTCAGTTAAAATTTGTCTGTTTTGTCTTCTCTATAAAATTGGTCTTCTACTTGTTTACATTGCCAGCATTTTAACCAATGTACTTGGTGATTTATTCTTCCTGATTAACTTTCTTAATTCCTTTACATTTCCTTAAATTTTATTCTTCTAAATGCAGATGAGATTTTTCTTCTATCTGCATAGTTACTTTTTACCTAGTGTATTTTTTTGTCAGTTTGTTGACTTTTGTCATAGAGTATCTCTTCCTTTTTCCAGCTTGTGTTTTTGTTGAAACACTGGTCTTAATTCTTTCTCATTTCAGTGAGGTCCAACAGTGATTAAAAAAGGGAGTGTTTTTATCAGCCTTGCTGCCTGATAAGATAATGGGGGTGTGAATGTTGGTGTCTGCTGCCTGTGATGTGTGTTGGGATGTTGGAGATGCTTTGACTGACAAAGCAACATGAGGTGTAAGTTTGTGCTCAGCTTCAGTAGCACTTATCTGTGTTGCTTTTTGAACATCACAGTTTTGATAACTTCTGCAGGCTAAAGGACAGGGTCATTAATGTATTTGTCAAAATGGAAAAAAAGCCAACTCACTTGAAAACCTTATCTGAATTCAGCTTCTGGTATTTTGCTCTGTGCCTAAAAATATGAGGGTTGCCATCAAGTACCTAAATCTCTGTTTGTATGAGAGGTGGGTGGGCTGTGGATGAGCAGGGGAGGGAGTGGGTGCTGTGGGCAGTTCAGGTGCTTCCCAGCTGTGGGCAAGTACAGACAGAAGGAATGGTCCACCCTGGGCAAGGGCTGGGCATGAGCAACCAGCAGTGAAGTGTTTTAAGGCAGAGCACATGATGCCTTTTCAACATAATGATTTTGTCTTGCCATAGTTAATTCTGTCCCTCCTGGTACACAAAAACACAGAGATGTTCAAGTACTGTTCTGGGCACAAATTAAAAAGGGTGGTGGGGACAGCTAAGAGCAGATAGAGCATCCTCTGGTAATGTGGGAAGGAGGGCATGGGGTTGGCCTAAGAGCTGTTCATGCACATATAACCCTAGTATGCATTTTTAAGGCTCTAGAAAAAGTCAGTGAAGTACAAAATAAAGTTGAGGTAGTTACTGTGAAAGTGCCAGGAACATGTTTCTGATGATGCATCTGACCATCCAATGCAGCAATATGAGCAGTGGTTTCAGAATTAGTAACTCTTAAATGGAGCTTACTGGAGAGGGCAGGGATAGTGGATCCTCTCACTTTGTCCTTACCAAAACTAGGATCAGCTGGTTGGTTTAATCAGCTTTTGATTTATAACCTGTAGCTACATCAGACTAGTTCTGTGTCTTGGTTGTAGAACAAACTTAAGGTGAAGTCTGTTATAAAATGGGACTATATTTTAAGAAGATAATCTGGTCCATTTGAACCAATGCTAGGGTCAAAATGTCTGAACATAGATGAACATCTCTGAGCATCTTATAGTTGAGGAAAGAGCTTCTTTATCAGGATTCACTTTCATTTATCAAAAGAAAGGTATTTGTTAGATCAAGCTTTTAATTGACTTCTCATCACCTGCAACTGAATCTTATTTTTCTTTACAAAGACAGATGTACACAGGGTATAGACAGCTAAAACATTTAGTTTGTATCTGTCTGCTTTACTTAACAGAAAAAAAATATACTTATGATGAATATATTTGTATTTTTTGCTAACCTCAATTTCTTTTTTTTGTAGGTAGGTGAATGGATTTTCAAAAGCAGAGTTGCTAAAATTGACAGAAAAGTAAGTATGTGAATGTTATATTTTGCAGAAGTGTCTATCAGAATTAGTGCTACCTCTAAAAAGATTGCTACCTCATGAAAGAGTTAATAAACTCTTTGATGTTGATTCTTAGCATCTGTATAATCATTAATTTTATATAGCCTCAGAAGTCTATTTCCAGCAAAGTGTTTTTACTTTGTGCAAGTAGGTAACATTATGTATTTCTCCTTCTGAACATGACCTGCTGTTACTTTTCCATATTGACTGTTTTTAACACCTAGAGCTACTATTGTGATGGAAGGTTTGAAAAATATAATTCTAGCAGTTACTTATCTACTTTCAGTGTTGTATAGTAGATAATTTCTCACCTTTATAATCATCAGAAAGGTTTGAACTCCTTAAGTCTGTGTTGTCTAGCACAGCATGACTAGAATCTCTTAGGATGATTATTTATTTCCACCTGTCTTTAATGGCTAACTCTGCTTCCTTTCCTCTGGAAAGAGGTATTTTTTTGTTCTGCTGGCTCCCAGTTTAAAACAGGAAGTATCTGCATGTGAAGAATGTATTGTATGCATGTAATCAAAATATGGGGCTTTGTACCAAGAAGCTTTTTGCTGCATTTTTGATCTCTTTCCAGATGATTGAGTTGATGAAATAATACAGATTATTATATTTTTTTAAAAGGATAAATTATTTAATAAATAGATATTGAATTACTTTTTTTTAAAAGTTGCAGAGTTTTTAGCTGAACAGTATTAAAATTGCTGTGAGGTATGTGTGTATGCATTTGTTTGTACATCTAGTATTTGAAATATGTGTATATTTCAATAGAGAAATTTATAGTATCTCTAAGTCCTATAATTTTACTGACTATACTGAACCAATCTTCAGTTCCATTTTCTTGGCCATTCTGCAAATTATTTTTGCTCCAAGTTCATTACACACTTTCTATATTTTAAAGGGCTAATAATAAAAATGTATGTACAGGGCTTGTGCATAATACATTGTATTGGGAGAAATCCTGGAACCTTTATTTTTATGCTCACTGTCCTTTTGTCTATTCATAATGAGTCTGGTTTTCACTAATTGTATTTTCATTGTCTTTAGTGGCATATCGAAGAGATGAAATGTGGTCAGAAGGGCGGTATGACTATGAAAGAGTTCCAAGAGAACGTGTCCCTCCAAGGGTTCATGGTGATGTAAGTGTGTAGTCAGCATTATAACGTTCTACTATACCTTTATACAATGACCTATACCATAGGGGGTGGATTTATGTACTTGTGTAATATCCTAGTATAAGTTAATTTTTTTCCCCTTTCTTTGAAGCCAGCAATCTGGCACATGCATCTGCACAGAAATAACAGACTGCCTACTAAATTAAGTATTTGTTTCTTTTTTTTTTTTAATTTTCAAATCTGTTGGAACTGTTTTAGAATTTTGTATTTTGGTAAACTGATTTTTTGGTGTAATTCTTTGTTATTAAGAACAGGATTTTTAATTACTTCTGTGGAACAAGAGGCCATACTAGTGTTATATTTTTCCACAGTCTTTTTATGTTAATATTTCTTTTAAGTAACTTGAGGTGGTAAAGGAACTTCTTTCATGATTGTTCTTGTCACCAGCACAGTTTTTTTGATAATGGTTAAAGTATAGGAGAAGATATTTTAACAAGTGTTGAAAGTACTTCTTTGCTGAAGTTCTGCGTTGGAGTCCTGTAAAGGAAACACTTTACAAGAAGAGTGTCAACAAAAATCTGCTTTGTAGATAACAGAGTCTTTTGTGGTGTGTTATGTATGTATGTATGGTATGCTTGTAAAAGCAAATGCAGAAGCTGTGCTTGCTGTGCTATAGAATAACTTCAGAATGCTTTTAGGAATTCTCTGTTCCAAAAAGTTGGGCAATTATTTTTTTTCCCTTGTCTGAAGTCTCCAACAAATGTAAAAAACAGCTTTGTCTTTGGAGGTATTACACTGTAAATAGAATTTTAAGAGTATGTTTTGATAATTCTATTTACATCCTGTGTAATGTGCTTTAGGCAAAATAAAATTTCAGGTGCCAGTGCCTCTTATCTGACTGCCCTTTTTCTTGTGGTAAATGTTGAAATAATACCATAAGTGATTTAGTGTCTTCGGGTTCTGTTTTGTTCTCAGCTTATCTCTTTGATGACTTTTGGTTACTCTGTGTGACTAATTACACAGGCTTCTCTATTGAGTAGTTCGGCTGCTCTGTGACATTTTTGTTACTGTGACAGGCAAAAGTAACATTTCTGCATTTTCAGCAAGCTGGAAATCAGATTGATTTTCACAGGCTGTTTAGCTACCTCCTTCTCCAAAATGCTTATCAAAATAGGACAAGAAGAAAGGCAGAATGTATTTTCACAGATGTTTTTTCAGTTGTTTGACTAACGTGTTGCCAATTTAATGTAACCATTGCATCATTGACATTTTTAAATTCCTGTAATCCTTCACGCTGTCCAGGGAACAATGTGTGATTAGGCATTATGAAAATTTATAGTCTAAAAGATGTGATGCACTTATTTTGCTGCAAATGTTAACTAGATAGTTCAATGCTAGCTTTATATTACATATGTTTGGAGCTGGGGTTGAAGGGAATAGCAGAGTACACTCATCACATTTAATGCTACCCATCTGTACCAAAACAACATCCCCTGTAACTGGGCAAACCAAGACATGGTGTCTCTGCCATACTGAAAGATGGATATGGAGTTCCTTCTCATACAGCTCTGCAGATTCAAGATAGTTGGAAGATACTTTCTGTTCTTGTAAGCCTTGTATTTGTGTTCACATGTAGAAGTCTGACTTAATTTTGATTAGACAAGTAGAATTAATTTGTTCAGTCTGTTAATATGCTTAGTGTTTGCTGATAGGTTAGTATGTTAGAAACGAGATGTGCCAATGATACAGAATGAACTATCTTTTTTTTTGAAGAAAGCAATAGATGTGTCCTCATCTAAACTGGGTGCTAATTGTATATTAAGTACAGATTGTAGTAGAAACACAGATACTGTTAAAGAACGTGCAATTGCAAGCACTTGACATAATTGTGTGGGTAGGATACTCATCGAGTTTTCATGTACCTGTTCTTCTATATGTCAGTATAGTTATGTGGTGGGTGAGGTTAAAGCATGGAGCAGTTTTATTTAAGCTGCACTGCGCATCTTTGTAAGACACCAAACTAAAAAAAAAGTTACTTGTGGAGGATGTTCATTGAGTTAGAGTAGATCAAGCATTGTGCCTGTGTATGACTATGTATGTAGTCTCCACTTTGCACCTGTATGGCTGTAGGCTGGCTTTGTTGGGTGGTCTCTAAAATCAAAAGTAACATTTTTTGCATGACAATATTTAGCAGCTTGTGAACACAGTGTATTTTTCTGCAAAAACTATCAATGCATTAGATTGTGACTTCTTACTGTTAAAAAAATAGCTCCCCTCTCCCCACCCACCAAATTGCACATGCTAACTCAAGTCTCTGCATTAGTAGCTTTTAAGTCCCATTAAAAAAATGTTTTGCTAAAGGAAGAAGATTTAAAAAACAAAATCTTGCATTCATGTTTTCATTCGCTTTTTATTTGTGATTGACTTATATAAAATTAGTTCTAGTAAAATTGAATTTATATTTTTTGCAGCTGTGCAATTTGTATTTAATAAACAAAGAATTTGTTTAGCTGACAAATGGTGTATGACATGTTATTTGAAGGAAATAAATTAATTTTGTGTTCTAGCAAAAAGCTGCCTGAAATGTGTATTAAAAGAAAAATTGAGAGTGTTAAAATTCTGTAACTTGAATCTTCAGATCACCTACTGCATTGTATTCAGCATGTGTTTATCTATTCAGATTATGAAGCAAGGTCTATCTTCTACAGTTTCTGCAGTGTGGAGGATGTTATGGATATAAGGAAAATTGTTAGTATTTTCAAATGGACTCTTTTTTTTTATAGGCATTACAGGTGTGACTTGCTTTGTTGCATTCTGAAGAAAATGTAAAAATCTGAGAAACACATGTAGCTAACCAATGCACAAAAAATAGCTAATGCTACTGCTTGTAAACTTTCAAAAGACAATTAAACCATGTTTAAATTTTTCCCTCTACAATTAAATTTGTAATGCCTAAGGATTGAATATAAGTATTGTCCAATTAGATTTAATAAGTTACTCCACTTTCAGACTGGCATGATTTTTAATGTTGCTGTTTCCCTGTGCAATTTCCTCTTTTAAGTCCCATATTTAGAAATAACTTGATTCTACATTTGTTTATTCATTACAGATTTTCAGCTGTTAAAAGCAGTATGATTTTGTTTTGTGGTTTAGGATGATTACCACAGAATAGTAAACATTGTGCCCAAGAAACCACCGCTGCTTGAGAGACCTGGGGATGGGAATTACAGTCGCTATGACGATTACGGTCACGCTGAGTACAGAGACTATAACGAGGGTCGTAGTTTTGACCATGACCGAAGAAGTGGCCCTCCACACCGAGGTGTACGTAAGGTGATTCTTCTCACGTGTTTATGATGTTTGTTTTCCCATTAAGGCTTGAATAATAGGTAATTAAAATACTTGAAAGGTCATTATTGTTGCCCCCTGCAATCCAGCTGATGGAAATTCCATAATTTCAAGGTGTTGATGGTAATTTCTATTTCGAGGAGGAAAGTCTTCTTTAAGTCCAAGCAAATATATATGCTTTGGAAGCTTCTGTAGTTTCCATGTTTTGTATAGCATTGCAAAGTTGCTCTCTTCAATACTGACAGAGGAAGAAAATAAAATTTAAATGGATACAGTGAATAAATTGAGAAGAAACTAGTTGAAAGGGTTAATATTTTTTTAGCTCATTAAATGCTTTGGTTTTGCAGTAATTAAATACAATTTGGCAACTGACTGTACTTGACATCGGACATTGAGATACATGTCACACAGTTGTTTTGCATATATGTTTTGCAGGATGAATCAGGATACAGATGGGCAAGAGATGATCATTCTACAAGACCTGAATACAGGTATTTTTTTATTGTAGTAGAGCCATGCATAGGCTGCGAATATTTAGGGCATTTTACTTGGTCACCCATACAGCTGGGAGAACAGGCCAGTGAATTAACAGGGAAAGGACATCTGTTAAAGTAAAAGGCAATTGTGGAAAAATGTTGTATTGTTTGAAATATAAATTAAATAAATTATATTACATGAAAGTCTCTAGTTTAATAAGGATAGGAGGTATCATGATAACATCTTTAGGATGGCAACCTGGAAGAGTAAGTAATTTAATGCATCTCTGATCTGTCACACTTCTTACATGATTTCAGATAATTTTTTGTTCTATTATTTGATTCTGCAGTACATTGGGGCTACAATATAATGATGCCTGTGTCATTTTAAAGGTTGGTGGGATAGATAATGGAAATATGAAGTTCACCACAGCCTTCTTCTGAGCTCCCTGTTTTCTCAGCTGAACTGATGAGTATATATTTTCATCATATGTAATATTAATTTCTATGAACCTTTCTTAGTCTGTACCTCAGGTTCCCATTTATGAAATCTAAGGACTGGTGGTAAATCATAGGTGTGTAATATACACATGCCTGCAATGATGTTTGATATGGATTATTTGAGTTAGCAAATAAAGTGCACAGGATAGTGTTACACTCAAAATTTATGGGCAAGGATGAAAGTCACCTTAAATAGTTAGACAATGGATTGTTAGTATAGGTGAAATATTAGCAGTCTGATCTAAGAATATCATCTGATGGCTGTGCTTTTATATGCCATATCCTGCATTTCCACTTCTCAAGATCTGGATTATACAAGCCTGTATTTGTATGTATTGTGTCATGGTGTTAGTCAAAATATCATAGAATAACTCCTTGTTACAACGTGTATTTAAAACTATGGTTGTACCATACAAAGAACAACAGAAGTAAACCAAGTTAGCTATGGACACCTGGCCAGTTGGAAAAATTGCTGTTAAGCTAGCAGCAAGTTAAAAAAAAAGACTGCAAGCTCAGACAGGACAAGCCTCAGTCTTGTGGTGTTGCAAACTCAGTATGATGCTGTCAGTAGCAATATCCATACAGGGGCACACAGTTGCAATAGATATCTATTCCATTGAAAGAGATGATTTAGACATAACACAGATGGATTATTCTATAACCTCATCATAAAGGAAATCCTTCATACATCATAAGGGTCTGTGTGTAATAGACTTCTTTCAGAAATTCTATCTTGGGGCTAGAAGCAATAATAAAAGGTTTTGAAAAGGAGTGCTTAATAAAGACTTGTGTAAAAGTTTTTCCATCTTTTCCTCTCAATTTAGAAGAATCAGGGTTGTTTAAAGCTGAGGAAAAAAACAAAAATGTTGAGGAGACTGAGTTAGTGTCAGGCAGTTTATTGTACACAGAACAAGAGTGGCACCCAGTGGTCAAAAAAATTGTCTTAAATGCATCCTGATTTCTTCCTTTTAAAATAAGGTTTAAAAAAGTGAGGTTGAAATGTCAGCTCATTTTGTTGAAGGCTTTATAATTGTGTTGTGTGGCATATGATAGTCCCATCTGAATATATGTTATATACTTCAAACTATTTAGCTGTTACACAACTGCAGTAATTCTATGGAAGAACTTCATAAAGATCCATGGTTCAAATATATTTGGAATTGAATGAAATCCTATTGATTCATTATATAAATATAATAAATAATCTTGAAAGTAAAGTCTTGTGATCAGACTGCTAAACACTTGTAGTGTTCCATGTTTGTAATAAACTTAATTACAATTCTTTTCATATTGCCCACTATTGAGCAATGTAGTGGATCTCAAGGAGGAAATCAAAGTACATTTCATGGTGTATGTTATCTCCTGTGGTGAAAATGCTTGTTACTTTCTATTTCAAAGACGTTTGCTCAAGAAAACATGATCTAAAAAAGTTATTTTGTGCAAAAATGCCTTCTCTTTGGATATGCTTAAAGTTATTTTAGGTAAGTTCTTTGGAGCACGCATAATTCTTTGAGGAAAGAGGAGGAGATTTGTATGGTTAATAGTTAGTACAGTGACTGTAAATTCTTAAAAATAATAGCTCATTTATTGGCAGAAATAATGGCTTTCTTAATTATTTTTAAAATCACAATCAGCAGCTAAAAATGTGCTGTAAGAAGTTGTTGTCAATATGATTTTAGCATCTCCTTTCGAGTATTCATCTTTCAAATTTTTCTGTTTTGGTTTTGAAAACGTACCTGTCAAAAAATACTTTCTCATCTCTTACTTTTTGCATTTTTCTTCTCCCAATCTTGAGTGCTGAAAAACATTACTTGAGATTCTCCCGAAGTAAAATGCCACTTATTTGCAATATCAAATGTCTTTAGCTGAGTCCTGTGTGCAGTTTTGGGCACCACAATATGAGAAAAATATTAATCTATTAGAAAGTGTCTAAAGGAGGGTAACAAAGATGATGAAGGGCCTTGAGGAGAAGCATTATGTGGAGCAGCTGAGGTCACTTGGTCTGCTCAGCCTGGGGAAGAGGAGACTGAGAACCTCATTGCAGTTACACCTTCCTCGTGAGGGAAAGAGGAGGGGCAGACACTGATCTCTGCTCTGTGGTGACACAACTTGAAGGAATGGCCTGAAGCTGAGTCAGGGTAGGTTTATGTTGGATATCAGGAAAAGGTTTCTCACCCAGAGGGTGCTCGTGCACTGGAACAGGCTCCCCAGGGAAGTGGTCACAGCACCAGCCTGACAGAGTGCAAGAAGTGTTGGTCAATGCTCTGGTGTGACTCTTGGGGATGGTCCTGTGCTGGACCAGGAGCTGGGCTCAAAGATCCTTGTGGGTGCCGTCCAACTCCTTACTTATGTTCTGTCATTCTGTAATTCTCTTAAACTTTGCTGTTAAATGGGGACTTTTTTTTTTTTTTTTTTTTTTTTTTTTTTTTTCTTTTTTTTTTTTTTTTTTTTTTTTTTTTTTTTTTTTTGGTATTTTTTTTCTCTGTTGTTTCTTCAGTGGTATTTTGTTGGGCTTTTTTAAGCTTCTTGCCTTTTTTCTTAAAAATAGGACAGGCTTGGTTACTTAGCATTTGTAGACTTGTGGCTTCATCTGTGATATGTCTATTGACCAGCAACAGTTCTCCATGAGTGACAAGAGAATTGCAGAGGTTCTAGCACTTGGTTTACTGTCTTTTTTTTTTTCTTGCCTTCCTCCTTATAGGGTTAAGCTCCAGTTTCCAAGCAGCTGTCATTTACATGGTAGACATTATTATGTCTAGCACTGAGTGGAGCATTACTCTTCCTTCCACATGCTTTTTGAGAGTTGTTAGCTCTGTTTTATACTATATTTAGTGAACAGCTGTCATCCTGACCATGACTTTTTTTATGGCGAAGATACATATTTTATATGTAAAAAATAAAGGAATACAGAGGATGTGCAGGGCATAGATTTCAAAATGAGTTCCCAGCTCTTTCTCTCCTGTAGTCACCTAAGGAATTCTGAACTTTAAGAACTGATGTGAATTTTGTTTTAGCTTGATTTGAAATGCCTTTTGGTTCAAGTGTAGTTGGCATACATAAAGAATTGTACATCATAGTTTAGAGGAAATTTTCTGCACACATTAATGCCTTGTTTGCTGATGCTATGAGAATTGTGAGACTTAGCAATTCAAAGGAGGTTGAGATCAATTAATACATGACTTCTTTGTACATTTATCTTGTACTGATGTTGATAATTTCTGGAGCTCTGTTAGTATTTGTCTTCAGCAATATATTAGGCTCATTTATGCAAAGTACTCATGCAAGTCAGATTTTTTTTAAAAGATGCAGGGAGCCACACTGCTATATGTTGAAGGATTCTAGTTTTGTAGTACTTCCCTATGGGCCTCATAGCATTGGGTTTTGCATCCAAGTTCATTTTTATAAGGTCAGATGAACTTTTCAGTGTGAAATGCTTTGGAAGATTGTTAGCTGCTGTGCACTTTAGTCATGCCAAATTTTAATCCTTTTGAGTGCACAGAACATTACTTCATTCTTTTTTTTTTTTTTGTACCAACCAAACTGAGTTTACAAGATGTGAAATATATGAAACTTGGCAAGTTAAGATGGGTAAGACTCATCTTCAAAGAGAAATTACAAAATGACGCACTTGTAAATCCCAGCTACACATGCATTAAATTTGATCCTTAGAATGATCTGAGGCCCAGATTTTTGTAGAATAATGGTTGCCATATTTGTAGAATAAGTAAAATGTAGACTCCTGAGAAGTGGCTTACATAGGACATTTTTAATATCTCCTCTTCAGCTGTACATATGAATAATTTTTCCTATGCTAAGGGAGGAAACTTGCTACTATGTGTGTTGTTTTGTCTACTGTGTGTTGGGCTTTTCTCCCACATTCTAAGTGAAATTAGGAACTAATTTTAGTAGTCCAGTCTTTAGTACTAATGCATTTGTCCATAAAACCAGATCTGCTTATTTCCTGGAGTGCTTAGGAATACTTTTTAATAAATGGAAATACGGAAGTAATTTTGGTGCTACAAATGAGAGAAAACTGTCTGGCAAAATATAGAAACTTAATTGTAAACAGTTTGATCTGTGAACAATTGCAATTCGTTAGTCAGTTCTATGTTCTGTTTTGGAAGCATTTTAAATTGATGGCTTATTGTCTTTTCTTTGAAAAAAATACGTCGTTTTCTGAGCATTAAACTTTCAATTACCGCTTTAGGCTCGTAAAGGATAATATATCTTGATTTTTCTAGATGCATGCACCTTCACAGTGAGAATGTATTTACTGCAGGCCATGGAGTAAATTGGTTGCAAAATGGGGGATAGAGGCCCAGCAATCTTGACTTTTTGATGTCTGCTTGAACTGCCCTTCCATTTAGTGATTAACCCCTTGTAAGTGCACAAGTGATGACACAATGTTGTAGAGTTGTGGTCTGAAGATCATACACTGAGAAGAAAATAGTACTTTGGTAAGAATCGTTATTTTAAATTAAAATCTTTGAGAGAGTCTCCAGATGGAAGTTGAG